TGTCGATGATATTATTATTACTGGCAATTCTGATTCTACTGTCACCCAGTTTATTTCTATTATCTCTAATCATTTTGCCATGAAGGATCTGGGTAACTTACATTATTTCTTGGGCATTGAAGCGCACCGGTCTACTCGTGGTCTTTTTCTCTCTCAACATAAGTATATTTCTGATCTTCTTAACCGCTTTCACCTGCATACGGTAAAACCTGTTCGAACTCCATTAGCGTCTCGCACCACGTTATCTCTGTCTGATGGTGAGTTACTGTCTGACTCTATGGAGTATCGCAGCATGGTAGGTGCGTTGCAATATTTGACTTTGACACGGCCTGATATTACCTATGCAGTACACTTGATGTCTCAATTCATGCATGCCCCACGTACTACTCATCTTTTTGCAGTTAAAAGAATTTTCAGGTACCTGCAGGGCACAAAAGATCATGGAGTGTGGCTTCAACATTCAGCTAAACCTACATGTGTTCTAGCATATTCTGATGCTGATTGGGCTGGGTGCCCGGATAGTTCTCGGTCCACCACAGGGTTTGCTGTATTCTTAGGACCGAATCTTATCTCTTGGAAATCCAAGAAGCAGCCTACTGTGTCCAAGTCCTCTACGGAAGCTGAGTATCGTGCTATTGCATATACTGTACAGGACACGTTACATGTTCGGTCCATCTTATTTGAGCTCGGTTTCCCTGTGACCGAACCGGTTCGATTATTATGTGATAATATTTCAGCTTCCTATTTATCTGCTAATCCAGTTCAACATGCTCGCAGTAAACACATCCACATTGATTATCATTTTGTTCGAGAACGTGTTGCTCATGGAGATCTTATTGTCCAACATGTTCCTACTCACTTGCAGTTGGCAGATATATTTACGAAGAGCCTCCCTAGTCAGCGTTTTCATTTTTTAAAAGACAACCTGCGCGTTGTTTCTCCCGCACAGCTTGAGGGGGTGTAATAGAATTAATAAGATAAGGATATTTATGTATTTTTACATTAAACTCTTTTCCTATAAATATATCTGCCAGGACCCCTAATGGGTATCCTGTTCCATTATTTCACAATAAACACAGATCAGATAGGGTGTTTCAAATTTCAGATTGGGTATATTTGAAGCTTCAGTATTGCAGACAATCATCGGTGGTTGTTCGCCCAAATCAGAAATTAGCACCTAAGTTTTATGGTCCTTTTCAAGTCATTGATACTATTGGAAAAGTGGCCTATAAACTAGCTTTGCCAGCAAGTTCTCAAATTCATAACGTTTTTCATGTGAGTCAGCTTAAAAAATGTCATGATCCTACATCTACAGCTGCGCATTTACCCACATTTTTTCATGATTCAAGCCTACCAAAAGTGCCTGAAGCAATATTAGAAAGAAGAATGGTGAAAAGAAAAAATGCTGCTACTGTTGAACTTCTCATTAAATGGCAAGGATTGCCCTTAGAAGATGCTTCTTGGATGTTTGCACAGGACTTCAGGCAGCAATTTCCTGAATTTCATCTTTGAGGACAAAGATGTTGAGCAAGGGAGTTCTGATATAGTATAGAAACTAATTCCAGATTAAGAAAAGAAGTTAGTTAGAATAAAACTGTTGGTGGTTGTTATCAGTTAGTATTGTAAACTGAAACTTGTATAAATAAGGACTCCTGGCTTGTAATAAGAACACGATGAATACAAAGCTTCTTCTTCCCTCATGTCTTCTTCTCTCATTTTATTCTCATCCTCCATTAATCAATCCAGTTCGAGCTAAATTCTTCATTATTCATTAGCTCCACAGATTGAAATATACAAGGTCCATTCTTCAATAGAATTAACTTGTATCACAAATACCATAGCGTTTTGCACACTGTACAAGTCATTATAATTTATAAATTACGTGTAATTTACATCATATCAAAATAGATATTCACTTGCTCAAAAAGTGGTCAATTAAATAAGTATGGTCCCAAGGAAATTGATAACTTTATTGGCACCTGTGAACAAGATAAATGAATGTACTTACTACTGCTGGGTCTTCGAATTCAAAGCAAATAGATTGATAATTATGGTTACACATTGCTTGAGAAGATAGCATAAAAGCTCAATATATTATCGCCACATACACGACACAACATATGAGAGAAGCACTCGGGTTTCAAATTATCCATTATGCACACCTTTCTAAAAAATTAAAGATGACTGCTATTTAGTCATGGACCCGGGCCGGTTCCGGTTCAGACTTGGGCCCGGCTGGGTTTTTTTTAGAAGGAAGAACCGGAACCGGCCAAGTAGGCAACGGTTCCGGGCCGGGCCGGGCCTCGGTCGGGTCTGGCCTCGGCGGGCCGGTTCTTGTTATTTTTTTTAATTTTCTTTTGCTTTTTCTAATTAACCCCCGACCCCCCCCCCCCCCCCCCCCAAAACACCCAGACCAACCCGGGAGAAACCAAAAAAAATAAAAAAAAAAACAGAAAAAAAGATATAGGCCGGGCTGGTTCCACTTTTAGGAGGCCCCAGCCCGCCCCGTTTAACTCCTGGTTCGGGTGGCCCGCACCGGTCCTATGACCGGGTGCCGGGCCGGGCCCATACAGTACTGGTTCCGGGACGGTTCCGGGCCGGGTGGCCCGACCCGAGTCCATGACTACTGCTATTATTAAGGTCAGAGCTCTAACCATTTGGACATTGTTTTGTCCTGATTTTGTTTGCTTATAAAAGAAATGAAACTTTTTATTTAGGGATGATCCGAAAAGGAATGATAGATTTTTATTTAAGGACTGAGAGAATACTCCGTATGTTGTAAGATTCTTCTGCATGAAGATAATACACATCAAGACAACTATCACACTTGAATCCAGATCCGTCATTATAGTTCATTTGATTTCAAATACGTGGCCAATACTATAAAGCATTCAATGATAAAATTTGCAAACGAGTTTTTATTTTTTTGACGTGAGTTTGAAAGTCAGGCTTTTATAAAATTGGGATTAAAAATCAGAATGCATTATCATATACCGTGACTCCGTGAGTAAGGATTTGGATCGCAATTTTAAATCGAGATTCTAAAAAAGAAAAAGTTGTAAAAGTTTGGTAATTTGACCCAAACTTATTAGAGCTGTTAATTTAAATAGAACTTCATCAGTAACACTTGAATCGAGGCTAGAACTTCTTTGCTAAAAAGGTTTAACGAATTTAAACCTAATGAGATGTAATTAAATAAATCACATCTACTCCATTAGACACTCCAATTATATTTTACCAACAAACCACCCCAAATTAAAACTAAACAAATACAAATCTTCACCAAAATCCAATAGACTAAACAACACTTATAAGTTGAAAGTTTACCTCCAAGTAGGTTAATGAATACATCACACTGTTCTAATGCAGGTACATGTATGAATGAGAGCTCGTTTGTAACACCGACGTCAGCTGAATCGGCTGTTTCTGCTGATATTTATGAAGTTCAGGCTGAAATGACCCTCTCTCTATATATATAGAGCCATTACAGAGGCTAAATATAGAGCCATTGCATTCACATCCACTGAACTCATTTGGATTCAACAGCTTTTGCAGGAATTACAGGCTCCATTGCACATCCCACCCATTCTCCTATGTGATAATCTTAGTGCCACCTACATGGTTGCCAATCCTGTGTTCCATCAACGCTCCAAACATATAAAAATTGACTATCACTTCGTTCGAGAAGAAGTTGCGGATGGATCTCTTATTGTTCGTCATGTTCCTGCCCTGGACCAGATTGCTGACATCTTCACAAAAGCTGTTGGAAATTCTCGCTTTACTTCTCTTCGTCCCAAGCTCCATGTTGCTCAATCTCCATGAGCTTGCCGGGGGTATTAAGGGAAAGTATTTTTTAAATTATTTGTAATATTCTTTTGGCTTATTGGGTATATATTAAACTCCTTGTAAACCCTAATAGGCCCAACCTCTTTGTATTTAAATACTCCTCTAATCATGGAATAAGACATCTCTTGAAACCCTCAACACTTAGCATTCTTAACAGGCACCAAATGTTTTCTTTCTGCCATAAAAGGGCATCAACTTTTTATACTTGGGTCAGTTGGTTGAAACACGCATTTACCTTTTAACTGTCACCTTTTAATTAAATTTTTATATTTCAGCTTAATGGATTTCAATTGATATTGCTCTAAAGCTATGTTTGACATTGTGAATCGGAGATTGATGTGTGAATTAGTAAGAGCATTTTTATTTAAATGGTCTTATATCCATTGTATGTTTTTCTTCACAACATATAAAACAAAAGCTTAGATGTGATTAACACTATTGAAAAACAATTACCAAAATTATATAAATCCCAAACAGAATTCTTGAAAAAAGACCACTACTCTAGGAGGTGGGATATACACCACATCCTACGGTCACAAAAAGCCAATCCAGACACCCGCAAAACGAAGGCGACTATTACATTTACCATGTTGATCAAAGGTTGGACTCCTCTCCACACAAACTTGCTATGGCACTAACGCGATTCTGGTCTCCTCGATCACCCAGAAGCAAAAAAATATACTGACCATATCTCCGAAAGGCAATTCAGTTCTATAACCTATATAACAGATCTATTTCAGCTTCGAGATACCTTCAAAAAAATTCGAATGCTAAACAACAGTTGCTTTTACTATTTTTGAATTTTTTTCATCTTTCCTTCTCTGAGTTGTTTCTTTAATCTCTTGTAACTTCCTTATTGTTATTATTAATAAATTTGGATAGTGTTCCCTCGACACTCCCGCAACCACATGTGGTTTATTCCGGGACAATAAAAGTTTATTTCTCATGCCACATTACGCTGCCCGTCTTGTATGATTAGAGCTAGGGAAGGGCATAACGGTTTGGTTTAACTGAACCGTACCAAACCGAATTGAAACCGGACCGTATGCAATTTGGTTTGAATTTGATACTATTTCTTTCAAAATGTATTAAACCGAACCGAAACCGATAAAAACCAAACAATAAACATAAGCAAACGAATCAAATCAAACTAAATTAAACATATTTTTTTTTACTTTGCTAAACCGAACTTCAAACTGAACCGAACCAAAATCAAACAGCAACATAAATGATTTTAGTTCGATACAAATTCTCTCAACCCGAATAAACCAAAACCGAAAACTGAATCGTAAACTGAATTGCCCACCCATAGTTAGGGCTGGACCCGGTTCGGGCCGCCCGGCCCGAGTCCAGCACCCATAGTTAGAGGGGCTACCACATTTCAAACAGGTGCCGGCCTAGCCCTTGGATGTCCAAAACTCCGGATACTTGCCCAACCCGTCAAGCTGTACCGGGTCTGCATCTTTCATGGTTTCCTGCATCCACGCAGTCTGATTCCTCTCTGCGTGGTCTCGCCATGGCCACGTTCACCCGCCCTTACACTTCTCCTGATCCAAGAACAGCTCCCACTTGAGGAACCGCGCGAAATGGTAAACCCCCCCAGACTCAAGTCTCTTCATTCTCTGATTCATCGCCGCCTGACCAATAATAGTAACCTTCACTCGTTCTGCACGGGATGTCGTTATTTTTCTTCGAAACCCGTGATTCAGCTTCATAGCAATCAAGAACACAGTAAAAACTCTCAATCGCACTTGGTCTATAAGGTCTGTGAAATTTTATCAAATCGGCGGAAACGGAGCGCGGAGCGAACTCTTTGAGCCCTAAGCTAAGACCCCACCATGTCGCAAGGGTCATTGAAATCCATAACGACACTGACATAACTGTGCAGTTCTTCTATTGGGTTTCCAAGAGGCATTTTTACAAACACGATATCGCCTCTTATGTGTCGATGCTTAATAGGCTACTGCGGGAGAAGAAGTTTGAACCAGCTGATCATGTCAAGATTTTGATGATAAAAGATTGCAGAAACATCGAAGAAATGAATAGGGTAGTTGCGTATTTGAACGAGATAAGGGAAAATGGTCTAGGACACGGTCTGTATAGTTTTAATACTCTGTTGATTCAGTTAGGCAAATTTGACATGGTCATGTCTGCTCAAAGATTTTATTGGGAAATGCTAAACAATGGCATCCAACCAAATTTGCTAACATTCAACACAATGATAAATATATTGTGTAAGCAAGGGAAGGTGAAGGAGGCTTATTTGATTTTGAGTCAAGTGTACGGGCATGGGATGCTTCCAGATGTCTTCACATACACATCCCTCATGCTTGGGCACTGCAGAAACATGAACATAGATTCAGCTTTTCTGGTTTTTCAACAAATGCTAAATGAGAATATTCATCCCAATGCAGTAACTTACTCAACTCTCATAAATGGGCTTTGCAGCCATGGGAGAGTTGATGAAGCTTTAAATATGACCGAGAAAGAGATTGAGCCGACTGTGTATACTTACACGGTTACCCACCAAACTCTGAAACCTACAATGCCCTCAATTCACGGGTTTTGCTCAATGGGAAACATAGAGTGGGGAATGATTCTTTTGAATGAAATGCTAAAGTCAGGCCCCACACCGACAGTCATCACATACAATGCACTCATCAAAGGGTACCTTGAAGGTGGTTTATTGGAGAACGCGGTTAGACTGTTGCATTTGATGAAGAGTTGCGGACTTAAACCAGATGAGTGGACTTACGCAGAACTTGTCTTTGGTTTCTGCAAAAGAGGGAAGCTTGATTCGGTCATAGCTTTCTTTGAAGAAATGATCACACAAGGTTTGTGTCCAAACAAGATAAATTACACGACATTATAATGCCATTATAAATGGTTTATCAAAATCTAACCGAAGCAGAAACAATGTGCAATAAATTAGCTGAGAGTGGTATGGTCCCCAGTGTCATTACTTACACAACATTGATTGATGGGCTGTGTAAGAACGGCGATACTGTAAATGCATTTAAGATATTCAGAGAAATGGAAAATAGGAATTGCCCGCCCAACTTGTTTACTTATAGTTCGCTCATCCACGGTTTATGCCTCAAAGGGCAGGCATACGAAGCAGAGATTCTACTCAAAGAAATGGAGATGAAGGGATTGGTTCCTGATCATGTAACTTATACCTCTTTAATTGATGGATATGTAGCTTTGGGTGGGTTAGATCATGCGTTCTTACTTTTCTCCAAGATGATTCATAGTGGGTGCCAACCAAATTATAGAACCTATAATGTGCTTTTGAAGGGTTTGCAGAATGGAAAGGATTGTTATAGTTTTGATGTTTTGTGTAGTTTATTGGACAGAATGTCAGAAAGCATATGTGGGCCCAGTTTAGATACATACAACAAATGTGCTGACTTACAACAATCTCTATAAAAAATAGAAATTAAATTTGTATTCTTTTAAAAACTTGTCTAGCTCTGTTCATGACTTCTTAGTTATGTTTTAAATTTTCAAATTGTCAACAAAAATTATGCATTAGGCCTGATTAATTAATTGAAGTTATAAATAAAAAGAAGCCTACACAAATTACATATAAAGAAAAAACTCGGGCCTAATTTTCTTTCTACTTTTTTTCGGGCCTAGGGCGGTCGCCCCTGCTGCCCTAGGATCGACCTTGTATGCTGTTTATTTCTCATATGTTATGACATGTCTTATAAAATCACCGCACTGATGTATATATGACATGTGTGGCGATTTTATACGCGCGTTATACCGTTTTAGCTACGAGAATAGCTGTTAGGTTTACCTGGAGAGCAGTTTATTAGAGAACTCTAAATGACACTTAAAACACTTCACGCACATCAGCTTTGGCAATCAGCTGTTAGCTTTTAGCTGGTAATGACAGCTGATTGACAATAGCTGGTTCTGTTAGCTTGTTGTTAGTAAATGTTTGGTAAATGGCTTATCAACCATTTTTGGCTGGTTTGACTGAGTTTAGCTTCTTTAACCAATTGACCAGCTAAATAACATGTTTGTTTGGTAAATAGCTTCTTGAATTGGCTTCTTCATCCCAAGCAGTCGAAAAAATTGGATGGTTGGAAACGTTGAAGGTTGCAGCATTTCAGGTTGGTTGGTTCTATCATCTATTAATATTTAGGGTTGGTTTGCAAATGCTTAAAAAAGCACTTCTCAGCTTTTGGCTTTAAAAAACACTTATTTTATCAAACACTACAACTTTTATTTTTCTCGGTTTTCGTGTCAAAAGTGCTTCTACTTTTTCTATTACACAAAAGCACTTATTTTACCAAACACTATCAACTTTTACTTTTCAAAATCAGTTTTTTCTCAAACACTATCTGTTGAAAAAATGTGTTGAAATTGCATTAAATGGTCATTTTGGGGCAATTTTTTGAGTGGGTCCACTTCCGATTTGGGTTGGGTCAAAGTGGTTTCGGATTGGCCTTGTTTAGGGCTACAATTCGATATATGGTACGCTCAAAACGGATAACGGGTGAATGAGAAATTGATTCTCGAAGTTTACCCGTTAGAATGGAAAAATTGGGGAAAAGGATAGTTTGTAGTTTGTTATTTCCCACACCGGAAAACCCAAGGGATTCGCAACCCTTTATAAAGGGACTCTCCTCTTAAGGAGTTAAGATTCCTAAGGTGAAAGGCTCTCTCACACGCGCAGGGCGGTGCAAATCAAATACCGAAATCGGAGAGAAAAACTGCAACTTGTGTGCGCGGGCGATTTGCGGACATGAATGTTGTCCAAAAATCTATCTCTTCCCGAAACGTTTATTTTTTCCCAGTGATAGAATTGGCTAGCGGCAGAAATGCTCCGGACAGAAGGCCTCGACAGAACACCTCGGTATGGTGTTCTGGTGGCTTCGGACAAAACCCCTCGTGGGGTGTTCTGCCGGCTTCAGACAGATTCCCTATAAAATGGTGTTCTCGTGGGGTGTTCTTGTTTAAAAATTAAAAACAATCCCTCTATATGTTCTTGTTTAAAAATTAAAATTGTTCGTTTAAAAACTATTAAAGGGCCTTTTGTGTGTATTTTTTATTTAAATTCTATGCTTTTTTGACAACTTATCCAGCTATCCTAATGTCTTTTGTTGTCTACACAATTAAATATGAAAATATTTGTAATCCACATAGTTTTCGGTGTACAAAGATACATAGGATATGTTTTTTCATAACAAAAAATATCTTAATTGTATCTTCACAACAACATATCCAAGTCCAAGTGTCAATGTATTTGATAATGCCCATCGACGCAAGGAGAGATAGCAGAACCACAAAATGAAACTAATACTAGTAATAATTACTTGATACGAAATATAGCAGTGTTATACAGTTATACTTAACTTGTACTTTGAATGTTATAAAATAGTCCAATTACGACCCACTTAACTCAATTGATTTAGACACTAATGTACGTAATTCATTTTTTTTCTTGATAATCCAGGTGTCGGGCTTACGCTCTCATAATCTTGGAGTCTATGAAGTATGAACCATCCTTCAAAGCCTCTAGACAATTAAGTCCGGATCTGATTACAGTCAGCCTCATCGGCAGTGGCTCCTAAATGACGAATTCAGCAGGACTTACGTCGCCTGTTTTCTAGGCTCCTCTTCCCACCACACGAACCCGTGACCTTCATTATCATCCTCTCCCTTCTTGCCCACTGAGCAACTCCGTCGTAAAGGTAGGAAGAATCATTGGGAGCAAGACCTCTCTCCTCTCCCTAGTGCCTAGCGGGTTTCGAACCCGAGACCAAATGCTAGGCAAGGTACGTAACCTTGCACCCAGCAGACTGGAGTGCTCGGTTACATAATTCATTTTATAACATAAGAAACGTATTCAGTAATGTAGTTATTGAATACCGAGTTCGAAACCCAGTTCGAAACCCAATACGAGACCAACTGCTTCGAAACGTATTAAGTGTAAATTGAATACCGAGTTTGTTGGAGGTATTGGTCCTACCAAGGCCTCCCTTCCACTTCATTTGTTGAGGCTTGCACACTCTATTTTACTCTCTCTTGGATACCTATTTCTTTGGTATATATCCTGATCAAATATATACCTATTTGAGTGGTTGACTTACCCACTTGGCTGGCCCCTTTGTGTGATGTCCGCTGCATCCATCTTTATCTTGGCCTATACATGTGACTCTCCTTTGTCTAAGTTGCATGTGAGTGTCTTTTGTCAAGCCTCACCCGTGACTCCCTTTGGCAGCCTATTTGTATCCTCTGCTTCCTCCCTTGTTGAGTAGCCTGCGTGAGTGTATTCCAGAGAGCAGAGCTCCCTTTCTTCCTCCTTTGTGTGAGAATAGATAGGTCCTTAGTGGAGAGTCAAATATTAGTGTGCTATAGCTTCCTCCTAGTGTGGTGTGTGAGAGTGTGTGTGGAATAGACCTGAGCCGGAGACAGATACGATCCTTACAGAGTTCATATTTACGTATCTGCTGTATCTCGAGTTTCAAATTGGTGGAGTTCAAAGTTCGTCTTGTTAATTATTTTGAGCTTATAAATATATTTCACATTCTGGTTTCTTTTCTTTATTGAAATACTTTTGTGTATCATAATATCTAAGATGTAGCAGCAATATTTTTGTTTAGAGAGTTGGCTTCTAAGTTTATTTTAGATGAGGTTGTTTTAGTGTGCGAGTAAGTTTGTTTTGGTCAGATTGTAGAGCTTTTAATAAACAATTATATGTATTCAAACGTAATCACAAACCAACCTGGCTTCTTTTCTTTCAGTTTATGGAAATAAATTCAACTTAGTCATGTTGAATCATTAGGTTATACCGTTATATATCACACTCCAACATTAATCAACATATTGTTATATATATGACCTGTAGTAGTATTTTTATATAAATTTCAGTCTGAAATTGACATTATAAAGCTTGAATTAGGCTGGATTACTAGTATACAAAATGAATTTGAGACAGTCCTTTTTTTCAGCGAGAGGATTTTAGGTCCTGAAATTTATGCCAAACGAGTCACTCACTACTCTTCATCAGGTACATACAGAAACTATCATTGGAGTTGGAGAAAAGCAAACAAGATTGGGAGCAGTAAAAGCAGATCTTGAAGATGCAAAGACAGGGCTTCAAAAGGCAAAAGAAGAAGAAATGTTCATGACACATTGTCATCAATCTCGAGTTTTTTCCCGGAAAGGGGTACTTTCAAAAATGTTCATGACACATTGTCATCAATCTCGAGTTTTTCCCGGTACTTTCAAATCTTTTTTCCCAAACTAGGGTAGTTTTAAACTTATTTCCCAAACAGGGATGTTTTTTGCCATGTCATCGGGCTGGGCACGCCATGTCAGCGAAACCCGATTACTTCTCACTCCCTCGCCACGTCGCGCCTCCATGTCATTACATTCACATGGTCTTTTAAATATCTATATCTATATATATATAGTAAAACAGAAAAGTGAACAGAAAATTTGGACGGGAACACTGCAGCACTTTGGGTGATAATTAATGTAAAACTTATTGGTATATTTAAGAAAAAATAGGGCACCGAATGTCCACACTTTGGGCAGACCATTGCCGGAGATGTCTCTGGCGTTCCCAAGATATACCATTTAATGTAGGGATGTTTCCTTAAGCAACTTTAACAATCGTTTGCATTTTCTTTTTGATAAATCCATTCAAATGTCCTTTGATTCTAGCCGGTGTTGCACGTATTAATTTATTTATAGGTCAGCAAAGAGCTGTCTTGGTCTTCCACATCTCTTTTGCAATTTTCAATGCACATAATATAGATGCCTTATCCTTTAAATGCAGATTGCAGCTACATTAACCGAGTATTTCAAATTGGCCACTGACTACCAATAATTCCAATATATAGCTTCATACGTATAAATTTATTATATCCTCCATATATTTGTGTGTACAACTGTACAAGGTACTAGAGGGCAATAGGATCGGATTACTGGATAGTTGAAGCCTTTTCCAAATTAAAGATGAATTTCAAATGTCCGCACTGAAGAAAATATCAGTTGAAGAGTAAAGTAGTAAACTTATTCACGAGAGAATGAAGTTTTTATGTCCATTTTAGTTTACATTTTCTTAATCAACTTTGATTCATACTCCAATATCTCTTTTTTATTTTATTTATTGAAAATGACTTATTTCCCGGCCAATATGTAAGTGAAAGAATTAAGAGCAACTTACTTGACAAGTTCTCTTTAAATGGGTAGTCTATAAGTTGAAAAAACTATCAAGCAAGTGAACGTATGCCTTTTAACATTAAAGTATTGTACTGCGTATATGTTTAGTAATCATAATGTTATAATGTTTGATTTCGAGTAGTATTTAACATTTTTAATTAAATCATTTTATTTTATAAAAAGTACTACGTATAACGGTATAAAGGACTATAAATTAGACTTAAAAGTG